TGGATATATAAGTAGTTTCTTTTTTTCAATCTTTAATTTCTTTATTGATTAAGGTATTACATATGTGACCTCATTCCTCCCATAAAAATGGGGAGAGATCAGCCAAAGGACTTGTATGCATGCATATAAGCCTAACCAATAGACACAGACAACAAGGGGTGAGGGCATGATTGGGGGGGTGGGGGAGCAATGGGGGGAAAAGGGCACATATGTAATACCTTAATCAATAAAGAAAAAAAATAAAGTATCTCAGTTAAACTTCACAACAACCCTATGTGTTAATTATTGTTACTGTCTTTTACAAATGAGCAAACCAAGGTTCAAAAGCTTCTGACCTTGTATAAAAGCACAATTAGTAAAGGGTCCACAACTAGTCCTCAACTCTTAGTAACACTCTCTTATGCAGCCTCCTAAAAGGCAGGTGTCTGTTATGGCCACTTGACACAGAACCACTTGCCAACTTTAACCGCTATTAAAGGGAAATGCTTGGGTCTGATCCAAATGTATCCGATTCCAAAATCAATGCGATTAGCCACTATACTAACCCAAAGTGAAAGGAGTGGGTTTGAGGTAAATCTAATACATCTTGGTAAACCAACTAGATATGGAAAGTAGAAAAGTGATGACTTCCTGGAAATAGGTGTCATTAACTAAAATAGAGAATAAAAAATAGCATGAAATGAGGTTTAAAGGGAGCATGGAAGAAAAAAGATGATGAAGTCATTTGTGGACACATTAAAGTTGAAATAATGACAGACACTTAAGATACAGTGGCTAGGCTGGAAATATGTCAGGATGGACAGATACTTAGTAGTGTTTGAAGATGTGCATGTGAAATAATCAAATGCCCTAGAACATGTATTATGAAGGCAACGTGGCACAATGGGTGAGAGTGCAAGCTCTGGAGCTGGACTGCCTGCATTTATTTTATTTTTATTTGTTTTTTAAATATATTTTTATTGATTTCAGAGAGGAAGGGAGAAGGTGAGAGAGATAGAAACATCAATGAGAGAGAATCATTGATTGGCTGCCTCCTGCACGCCCCCTACTGGGGACTGAGCCCCCTACCATGGGCATGTGCCCTTGACTGGAATGGAACCTGAGACCCTTTGGTCCGCAGGCTGATTGATGCTCTATCCACTGAACCAAATCAGCTAGAGTTGGACTGCTTGCACTTAAATCCTCACACCAACATGTAGTCAGCTGTGATCTTGGGCAAGTTTCTTGTCTTCTCTCAGGTTCAGTATCCCCAGCTTTGAGATGGGGGTTATAAAAGAACCTACTTCAGAGGATGGCCCAAAGGATCTAAAAAGGTAATACATGTCAAGCAAAGCATTCAACACATACCTGTGTCCAATAAGTGTCAGCTCTTGGTGAGGAAAAGTCCAACAGAACATCCACATTTAAGGTTGGTGGGGAAGGAAAGCAGCCCCCAGAGGAATCGAAGCAGGAGCAGTCAAAGATTTAGACAGAAACACACTGAGAAGCTCAAGTTAAGGAAGATATATGAGTTCCAAGGCAAAGAATAACTGACAATGTCAAGTGCTACGAAGAGGTGAAGAAAGAGAGGGCTGCCGAGCTAAAGTACATGTAAGCAGTTGGTGTCTTTTGGAAGAACAGTTTCAGGGAAGCAGTGGGGGCAGAAAGCCGAGATAATGAGTGCCCAGTAAAGAATGAGTTAGACTATTCTCCAATTAGCCTGGCTTATGGAAGAAAAGAAAATGACAGGTAGTAACTTGAGGGGGAAGCGAGAGATTTATTTTATTTTGTTACAGAGGAAAGAAATATAGTGTTAATGTGTAGAGGGAAAGGAGCTGGTACAAAGGGAGAAGCTGAAAATACAGAAAGAGGGAAGACAGTAGGATTGGACTAAGGTACCAGATGAGACAGGAGATGACATCTCAGGAAACAGGTGAAAGGATTAACTTGGGACAGCATGATACTATTATTGTTTTGGGTTTTGACTACTGCCTTCCCTTCTAAATAGTTCAAAGTGCTTATTAAATTAAATATTAATTTAAGAGATAGTGTTACAATATCTGTTGAGAGGATGCTGTTTTTAGATGGAAAAACTCTCATAAAGATAAAATTATTTAACCAAAATCACATAGAGTTCAAAGCTAGAATGAAGACTCGTGATTCCCAGTCCAGGACTCTCTGTGTTGGCCTCTGACACTTCCTGAACAGACATTTGCTCACTCCCCAGTCTTTGTCCGTTGCCCCTACACAGGAAATATGTACCGTGGATACAGAGATACTGAATATACACAAAAGTATAACTGGTTGTTAGCAATTTTCTTCTCTTTGGGGAAACCACTTCCAAAGCTGATGGGTACCTTACCATAAAAATTAAGGGTTGCAAGAACCTTGCAGAAGGGGCTGAATCCTTCTTATTAAATATAGAAAGTACTCAATAAATATTTGTTAAGTGCATCATTTCTGCAGTTCTTAAAAACAAAGATTTCTGAAGAAAGGTAGAGAATGGGAGTGTGAGTGGGTATGTGCGAGCGAGTTAATTCTCAGGCCCCAGGAGACACTCAGGCTTCCAGAAAGAGTGAGGGGTAGGATTAGAGCTGAAGGTGTCATCACAGCGGGGACCAAATCACAGAACAACCTCTGGGTTGTTCTTAAAGTCAGCTAATACCAGTATACATTTTAATCAATGGGAGAAGGGGAAATGACCCCTTTCCTTCCCACAACAGCAGAAGGTAATCAGGATCAGGAACTGGAGCCTTAACACAGACAGAGAATAGCTAATGACTGCAGTGAGGCCAAAGCAAGGCTGCCATGGGAAGAAAAGGACTTCAAATTGTAGTAACTGTTTTAAAGCACTGATCTGAGGGATACAGGCAGATGAGGCTAGCAGAGAGGAAGTAAACTTCCAGTGACAGCCTTTCTATGTAGAAGAAAGCGTGACAGGCTCAAGTGAAACAAAAAACTCTCCAGAATGTATCAGGAAAGCATGTGATAGAATCTATCAATCCCATGATTTTTTTTTTTTCAATTCTAACACAGCTGGGGGTATTAATCTCTAAAAAGCCACAGAAAGCATAAAGCTTTCTATTCAACTTGGAAGATGATTCATTAAATTAGCAATTTACAAAACCCTGTCAAGGTTTTTGGAAATTATTCAGTACTCTTCCAATGGGGTATTTACAAATAAGCTTTACTTGTCAATAAAGATACAGCTGTGGGAAGGAAGAAAAAAAAATGTGGCTTAAGCCTAGATCTCAGAATCCAATCTAAATAAGTAAACAGATCATTTTGATTTGGGAGGAAAAGTCACCAATAACGAAACCTAAAACTGGTAAAAATCAATCTATACACCCAAATGATTCTGGATAATAAAAAACAATTTCTTATGGTTCTTATTTTGTTTTGAATAGAAATTGATACAGATTCTGAAAAGAATTTGCTGAGGGAAGAAAAAACTTAATAGCTTCCTGAAAGCTTGATTTGATTTGAGAACTATATGAAAAGCATTTTGCCATTCTTACAATGCAAACATCTCACCGATGCTATAACCAAGTACATCATTAACACAGGGCCAGGTTTTTTCATTTCCCTTTTCACTTTTCCTCCAAAAATCTCACTGACATTCTCCTGATACCTAACCTCCCAAACAAAAAACCTTATGACCTTCACCCCTCTCCTCTCATCCCCAGCACCCTACTTTAGAAAATGGTAAAATTTAGTATTAGATAATCAAAACTGTTTAGCCATATATATACATAGCTGTATGGCAAGAATTTGATGCTGATTAAAAAGCCCAAAGCCCTGAAGGTAGCTCTCCATTCCAGGTGAATAGCAAGAATAAACTAGACCTACAATGCACAGATGAGAGAAACCAGTATTTTCAAGGCCAGGATCAAATAACCAAAAGTTTCTTCCTCCCACAACCAACCGTCAGTCCTGGAGCCCCAGTCTATGACTACCAGCAATCTTACGTTGTCCAATGTGAAATGCAACCATAGCATTACTTACTTGTCCTGGAAAACGTCCTGAGCAGTCAGTTGATCCTTTTTCTTGATGGCTTCAGTCAGAGGGAATAGGGTCTTTATTTTGGAGAGAGGACTCTCACAGTTAGCTGTTACCTCAGTGGGGGGATCCAGCATGTTTAGAACATGCTGCTGAACTGGGGGCAGAGGCTCCTGAGGATGTAGAGCTCTGTGCAGCAGACACTGTGGGGAAAGTATAAGGATTTTAAAACGCAAGTAAATGGCAAAGGCCATTTGAAGTCCAGTTGTAAAAAACATCGAAGAATTTTATACAAGTATTTATACTTGATTACACTTAGACTACTAACGCATTCACTGAGTCAGGCCTTACATGTTAAGCTTTACATTTCTAGTTTTAGAACAAAAGTTGTTCCCCCTCCCTCATTATTCCAAGGAATTATAAGCATTAAAAACAAACAAACAAACAAAATGCAGAAGATCCCTCAAAATTACAATGGGCCCTAATATGGACCTGAGATAGTTAAGGAGACTTTAAGAAGTGAGTTAAGAGGGAGTTGAGGGTCTCTCCATCCACAGCCTCCACCCCCTCAGAAATAGGTCCTCCACTGCTATGTGAGGAAGAGTTTCCCTGAAAGAGCTGCGTGGGATCATTTTCAGTTTGGGGGTTCAGAAAGCCTATGTCCTGCTGTCACTGAGCTAACCCAGGACTAGAATACTCCTTCCCTTCGACCCTGGCCTATGCCTCCCCTTCCTCAGCATAAGTCAGCTCTGTTTTCAACTTCCTGTTTCCCTTAATCCAATCTCCACCTTTCAATTCCTTTGGCCCAATATTCAGAAATTCATATTTCAATTTCCCTGTATTTTAGTTACTTTTTAATAGTTTCATACTATAATCTCTTTATCTGACCTTTATGCTACCTTTAATTATGAAATTTTTGACAAATGTGGCACTGGAACACTTCTTCCCTAATAGTGATTATTATAAACTTCATTAAAACTCTACTATTTGGATATTTAAAAAAGAAGAAAAGCCTGGAAAACACATAAAAGGAAAATCGGCTTTTTATTAAGCCTTCCTGAAAAAACAACAGCCTTTCTCCAGAAAGAAATTAAAAGGACCCTAACGACTTCTTTCTTTCCAAAAGCTCAGAGTATTTTTCTCTTTTAGTAGAAAGAAGGTGACTTTCTTCCATTAAACATATAGAGCAACTGAGGGGATTAAAAACATTTGTTAGTGACTGGTCAATTACCCTAATTTTTCACTCAGTTCTCTTTCATTTAAAAAAAGTATGATAGGTTCATCTTTTCTTTCTCACCTGAAATAATCTCTGAAATTGAGGATTTGGGATTTTGGTGGTTGGAAATAAGTCTTCAATGGTGTCTCCCTCTTCATCTTTCTTGACCAAGCTCATGGAGTCTATCAGAGCATCGACAGCATTTAACTGTGCCTCTAAAACAAGGATAAAAAAAAAGCAGAAAGAAAAATAGACTAATTCTATTATTTTCCACTAAAACAAATGCTTTCCACTCATAGCTATTCATAGCAATACTGGCAGGTTACACAGCCCTGGCTCTGCCAAATATAGTCTCTAGTTATGCAAATCATTTACCTTGGTTTTCTTATATGTAAAAATGAGTTATTTAGAGTAACTGGTCTCTTAGGTCCTTCCCAGTTCTACCATTCAGTGAACTTTTGACAATGGAAATCATATCAAAAGCAGGAGAGTTTAGCCCTGGCCAGTGTGGCTTAGTTGGCTGGACATTATCACATGCACCAAGAGACTGCTGTCAGGGCACATGCCCAGTTTTTGGGCTCCATCCCCAGCAGGGAGTGTGCAGGAGGCAGCTGATTAATGTTTCTCTCTCACTGATGCTTCTCCCTCTCCCTGCCTTTCTCTAAAACCAATAAAAACATATTTTTGAAAAAATTTTAAAAAGCAAAAATTTGTTCCACACAAACCAGACCACAGCAACACAAAACCCAACCTGTATATGGCAATTCAAAATATTCAGAATTCAATGAATTAATATTAAAAAGAAATTAGTAATTAAAGGAGAAAAACATTTAAAAAGCCCTGGCCAGTGTGGCTCAGTTGGGTGGGCATAGTCCTGTGCATTAAAAGGTTGCCGGCTCAATTCCCAGCACATGTCCAGGTTGTGGGCTCAATCTCTAGTAGAGGGTACATGGGAGGCAGCCACTGATGTTTCCCTCTCACATTGATATTACTCTCTCTTTCTCTCTAAAAATCAATATAATTTTTTAAAAAGAAAAAAAGCATTAACTTTATAAGGATTTAATATAACTTATATCACAGCTTAACAGGAAGACAACATTGGATCAGAGTGAGCAGATTCCTTCACAAGCCCCCAAGTCAGAAGGAGCCCTTTCCTCTCACAAAACTCATGGCACTAAGCACACTCCGCATATATGCACACTTGTGTTCATGTCTTATGCTAACGCTAAAGATCCTGAAGAGCAAAAACATGACTTCCTTTTCTTTACGACTCTTCTAAAACCTAAAAGAAAGTGCTCCTCAATAAAAATCGACCTAGTCAACAATGACATGCCCCAAGGCAATGTGGATGAAAGCCAACTCTATCAAAAATGTTTCTACTTAAACTACCATGTGTCACTTTCATGCTGCTAATTCATACAGCAGTTCAGTTCCTAAAAGTTGAGGTGCTAGTTTTGGACCATCGAGTCACTAGGCAAAAAGCAGAAAAGAGTAAGTGGTTCCTAAAACATCCATTATGCTTCTGTCTGTTACTGCTACAAATTTCCCTTTGGAACAGCTACTATAGAAGGAGAGAGTGTGCAGCTATTTATCATAAAATCTTCCTATCCCATTTTTGGACTTTCTAGGGGAGGCTTCAGGCACTGGCACAGCCATCACCATGGTCAGCTGACTACGGAAACAACATAGTAGGTGGTACCTGTGTATGAACATGCAGTGATTTTTCATTTGCCATTACAAGCTATCAGGACGTTATCAGGCCAGACCATTCTAGCACTGCACACCCCTACATAAATGTCTACTTGGGAAATATGCCAAACAGTTTTAATAATACATTTTTCCAATGGAGAAAATGCAAACAAAAATGTCAACTCACAGAAAATAAGTCAATAGGTCGAGAGATATTTAATGTTTTAGGTCCTGGGTGAATGGTGTATGTCCACAATTTCTCAACAAAGTTCTCTTTTTTAAATGTTCTGCTCATTTAAAGTTTGGGGTTATTAAGAGGTAGGGATAGGCTACTCTAACACATGGGCAGCTTCTGCATGTTGAAGTACACGCCTGGCTCCCCCATGATGCAGAGGGACTCATTTCTAGAAGATGGGAAAGACACAAGCCCCAGAAGCCCATTTGTTTCTTGGCTTTTCTACTGCACACTTCTCCCAAACAGGCGAACCAAAAAAACACACAGAGAAACCAGCTTTGAGAGTCACCCACTATTCCCTAATCCTACACTGACACAGAGAAAAAATTGTAAACTAAAACATCTACATGTCATTTTGTGTTCTTTGTGGTATGTTCTCTACATCTGGCCCACTACTATATTTTGTTACAACTGTCTTAAACTGTGAGCTCTCTGGAAGATAGGATCTGCATCTGTGAGACTCATTCTGTGCAACCCCTGACATTTGTAGCCAGATGCTTAATAAAGGCCTTTCCACGCCAAGCTCAAAGGAACTCCTGGAAATGAGAACAGTGCGACTTAAACTGTTACCGTGAAACTACAAAGAAAGGGCAAAGAGAAAAGGTAAACTCCAGCACTACCACTCTTCAAGTTAAACATATTTTATGTAGGACACTAAAGTCCCAGGTTTGATTCTATGTCAACTCCCGTAGAGGGCAAACCTGCTCACAACCAAAGAATGTACATCCATTTCTAGCAAGCTGCTTCCTAGATATAAATCCTAAGTCAGAAGGGGGAACCTAGAGAGTGTTTGGAGAGTTCAGGGCAAACATATCCTTATTACTGGAAAAACACATGATGAACCACCTTCATTACTGTGTACGATGCGACTTGGACCCAACTAATTCCATCCTGTGAAACCTCGGCCCCAGCCAATGACTGCAGACAGGTGATTTCCCAAGAACAGTTTGTGTTTAGAGCCAATTAGGGAGCAAAGTGGAAATAAACTCACCCGTGGGAGTGTATTTCTTATTATTTTTCAATGATGAAAACATGTATTGCCGCAAGTCTTCCATGAAAGGCAGCTGCACATACACCAAACACTAATGAAAAAGAAAGGAGGTAAAAGCAAAAACAATCCAATTAATAAAAAAAAATATAAAACTGGTCCCAAATGCTGTGAAAGTGGCACAACAAAAATATTTTGAAAATCAGAAGGCCCAATGCCGGTGCATGGAAAGTACAGTGTTTTGATTACTTGTATTAGCTGTACACAGCTGCGAAGAGTACAGAGAATATGAAACATGAAATACATGCTTCAAAGAAAGTCTACCAAAGAATATCTGGAAAATGTATGCCCAATACAATAAATGAGAAGAGTCAGGTTGAGGGAAGGCTGATGTGCAAGCCAAGTCATTTGTTGTCCCTTTTTCAGTTCTGCCACAGTCAGTTCTTTGAGAAATAGGAAATGTAAGAAATGTAGGCCTGTATCTTAAATAGGACATCGCTGACCAAACTGACTTTCACAAAGATCACAAGAAAATCACATCCTCAACCTTTGTAAATAAAGACTGTTGTAAAAATAAAAAAAATAGAGGTAATCTATTCCTATTAGGTTCTGAGATTGTCAAAAAGGATGACAACCAAGAGAAGGTCCCTGGATTGGGTAAACAGGAGGTCATGGTTAACTTTTAGTGATTTGATAAGAAGGTCCTTTACATACTCGTATTTACATATGTTCTTCCATTGCAACTGAACATGTGGTTCACAGGCCAGCAACATCGACGTTACTTAGGAGTTTGTGAGAAATATAGAATCCCAGGCACCACCCCAGAATACAGAATCAGAATTCATTTTTACAAGCTGACCCAAGTGATTCCCACACACATTAACAGTTAAGAAGCACCTTTAGAATAAAGAAACTGAAGGGGGAAAAAACCATGAATAAAGAGCCCGGTGGGTTTTACCTCATAGGTGTCTTTGATATGAGGAAAAGCCACGCCAACCTGAGGATTAGATCTTCTGTCGTAAGCATAGCGAACTATGGCCACCATGGCCAATTCATCCAAAGCATGGATCAGGGAGGAAAGGGCCACCGCTGCTGCCTAGTAAGAAAGATGCAGCATTAACACCTATCCAACACGGGAGAGTTTTCACAACGGAACCACATACTCCTAAGACTGTGTTCTACTGTCTTCCTGTTTCAGATTTTTTAAAATTTATTTATTTTTAATCCTCACCCGAGGATATTTTTCCATTGATTTTTAGAAAGAGTGGAAGAGAGAAGGAGGAGACTGCAACTGAGGTACGTGTCCTTGACCGGAATCAAACCCAGGACTCTTGGGTCCGCAGGCTGACACTCTATCCACTGAGAAACACCAGCTAGAGCTCAGACTTTTTTTTAAAGTGCACCCTCACCCGCTTCAAGGCCACACTCTACCCATTTGCATTTGATCACATTTACTTTACTCTTCTGGAACTTTACTTCATCATCTAAATCCTCTCTCTTATCACGTCAATCTTCCTTATCTGAATTCACACCCTCACCCTCTACATAAACTCAAGTCTCGGCCTTCCTAAAACAAAATCTTTCTTTGTCCCCCTTTCACCATAAATTACTACATGTATCTTTCTTTCCTTTCACCTCTAAATTCCATGAAACAATCATCTTGTTGTTGACACTGCTTAGCACAAGATTGTTCTTCAATCTAATCCATCTACTGACCTGTCTTACTGAAATTATCTTCTGAAGTCAGCCATGACCTCCTAATTGCTAAGTCCTTGGCTCTCATTCTACTTGACCTCTCAGTAGCATCTGACCATCCCCTTTCCCTGAACTTTCTCCTTTGGCTTCAGAATAACACTCTCTCCTGATTATTATACACTAGGAGCCCAGTGCACGAATTTGCATGGCACCGCCCACCCTCGAGTTGCCTCCGGCTGGTCCCACCTTCTCCTGCCTCCCTGCTTCCCCACTCACCTTCTCCTGCCTCCCTGCCTCCCTGCTTCCCCACTTCTGTCTCCCCACTTCCCTGCTCCTGCCTTCCCACTTCTGCCCAGTCTCCCATCTCTGGAGCAACGCCTGAGGCGCAGGCAGCCTCCTGATGATAGGAGCTAATAAAGAGGTAATATGCTAATGGTCCCGGCATGAGGTGTTACAGTGTCCAGGCTAATTTGCATATTACCTCTTTATTTGTATAGATTGTGAGCCACTCCTCCCTTGGTTCTTCTCTTCCTCTAACTAACTTGACACTCTGCTCTTGACCTTTCTCTCCTTCTCTTACTTTAAAGCTCTACTTGGGGATTATTTTATCCAGTCTCATGAGTTGATGAATCAAAAGTCTGTATATTCAGCTTTAACACTCTTCTAAAACCCAGACTTATATTCAGCAGAAGTTAACAATGCAGTTAAGATGTGTTGACAATATATCCTAAAACTGCATGATTACCAACAGGATCTGATTTAGGAGAAACCCAGGAACTCAGATTTTTAAATTGGAGGATTCACGTATTAGAGCCTATTGTGCTCTAGTGAATCTGTGCAGTACTGAGTGTTTTCTCCTAACAGCAACTGTTCTGATAGAATAATGGAATAATATCCATTCACTAGATTTGCAGCCAGCTATCCTTCAGAAGTGAGGAGAAAGAGAGGATTAAGAGGACTAGATCTCTTTCACCATCACCCTCCCCCTCACCCCAAACAAGCCTTCTACATCTACTAGTTTTAAATACAAATATTTGGAGACCTGCTTAAGTAGTCTTAAAATGACACTATATTCTTATCTTCCAGCTTAGATCAGCATCTCCAAGGAAATAAGTTCTGACTTGGAAGCCACACAGAAAATATTTACAGAGAGGGCAGGTTCACGTGAGTGTAGGATGCAAGAGTCATGGGTTATTAACCAGGCGGAAACCAGCCTTTCTTCATTTTCAGAGTTAAAAGACAATGAATTTCCCCACTGCCGTTACAATAATTAATGTCATTTTAAACTATAAATGTCCCAAACAATTCACTTAAAATGACAATTTAATTCTGTGGCACTACCTCAAAGACCCATTGTCAACTCACTTCATCATCTTTTGCTGCAAAGACTTTTAGAACTTGATTTCCCATGAAATATTTCCTGTGGACCTACAAGAGTAAGTGAGGAGAGAATCAGTTATGATCCAAAATAAGTTATACATAAAACCATAATGCTACAGTTTGCTAAGAAATGCCATTCAAAATGTTCTTACTGAAAAACATTGACAAATACTAGAAACAACATATTACCTAAGATTCAACAGAATAAATATATGAGCATCTAATATGCATCAACATTGTTCTGGGCACTTTAAACACAATAATGAACAGAATATAGATGGTCCTGAGGAGCTTAGGTAAATATTAAATTAACCACAGTGTAGTACTAACATACAGTGCTACAAGGACACAAGAGTAGTCTTCTAATACAGTATTACAGTTTGGTGCTACAAAAGCACATAAGAAGGGCATCTAGTTTGGTTATGAGGGCTCAGGGAAGGCTTCTGCAAATGGTGACACCTAAGTTAAGATTTAAGGATGTGTTCAGAACTGAGATAGAAAGTCTGGCCACAAATATCCTGGGCAGAGATGATAGTGTGTTAGTTTAGAGTGACATAAAACACAGAAATATTTGGGGAATTGCTTCTTAAGTAGTACAGTACCACAGTGCAAGGGGAAAAGGGGAAACTAGCAAGATTAGCAACAATCAATCATGAAACCTCTTATCAGCAAAATTAAGTGGTCCTAAGAGCAATGAAGAACTGCAAAGAGACCAGAGCAAAGAACTAAACAGAGAGGCAGCACTGAAGGAAGGGTAACTGAAGCAAAAACAAAAACAAAAAACAAAACAACCCAACACTGTGTGTTCTTTTGCCCCCTTTAGTTACTCATCTATACAGTATCGAAGGGGTCAAATATGAGAAAATGAACACTGAAGAGTTGCCACCTGCACCTATTGAATAAGATGAGAACTTCTCTTTCATCTAGGGGCCCTTGTGCCTGAAGCTTATTCATAAGAACATGCCATATGCTGTATAAGGCAAGGCTTCTAAAATGTTTTGGGCTTCTTTTGCCCTTCCACCTCTAAAGCTGAGAAATTATGAGCACTGTCATAGCAGCTCAAGACTAAGACTCAAATGTATGGGTGTGAGGCCCATGTAACTCAAATTCCCTCCATCTCCACTTCCATTCCCCGTTTGAGGACCATTATTTGAAGAAATATGGGAATAATCCTATATTTTTAGTTTGCTACATTTATATAGATTTGTCCTCCTATTAGAATTTGTAATAGTTTTTGATTGATTAAAGAAGAGCTAATGAAATCTCTTCCCAACGCACCTAAATGACTTTTCAAAAGATAGACAGACATTTAGGGGAAGTTCTGGCTAAATTCTTATCCGTCTGTAATTACATATCTAGAACACTGACAACTTGGAGAAAGACAAGTTGAAAGGACTCTTGAAAATTTTAAAAAGAAAAGTAATTCACATTTCAAAAAAAGAAAAAAATAACCCAAACCAAAAATCCTATTTTATAGAATGAAAACTATCAGCTCAATCCAGAAATGTTAGTTTCCCTCACTGTAAGGGAATTTGAAAACTATGTGATTTTATCAATTTAATGATAATTACTCATCTGTTACAAGGTGCATGCTTATACTTTCTTAGTTGACAAGACGATGTGCATACATTTGTTAAGATAATACACAAAAGCAGGTATGTAAAACTTAGACTATTCAAAAATGAGGCTATCCATCTGGTGGGCAGATTACAACTGATCAATGGCATAAGCTTTGGAATCAGACACCTGATTCAAAACCCACCTCTACCACCTTCAAGCTAGGTGACCTTGGACCAGTTTTTTAACAGCTCTGAAGCTCAATTTCCTAATGTATAAAATACATATCATAGCACCTACCTAAGAGGCTCATAAAAGAATGAAATGGGGATTTACATACAATGCTTAGTATAATGACAAGAGTATTATAATCACTCGATAAATGATAACTATTATATTATCTTCATAGTACCTGTCTGAGATTATACTTAAGATAAAAATAGTTTAGAGCTTAAAACAAAAAGTCAATTTAGAAAAATAATTCATGACTTAAAAGTTAATAAAAATCTTTTAAAAAGGTGACAGGATTAAGAAAAACGAAAACAACTCATAGACACAGACAACAGTACAGTGATTACCAGCAGGAAAGAGGAATGAGGGGAGGTAAAAGAGGGTACAGGGAGGATAAATGGTGATGGAAGGAAACTCGACTTGATAATACAATACACAGATTATGTATTATAGAATTGTATACCTGAAACCTAATTTTATTAATCAATGTCACCCCAATAAATTCAATAAAAAGTTTTTAAAAAAGGAAAAATGTACTTTTTGTTCAGCTCATTCTTCCTTGCTTTGCCATTCGCTAAACAGGCTCCCCAAGTCCCAGCCAGGCATAGATGATTTCAATTTTTTGAGTTCTGAATTACACTTGCAGGGTTTTTTTTTTTTTTGTCTTATTTTGTTGTTGTTTTTTAATATATTTTTATTGATTTCACAAAGGAAGGGAGAGGGGGAGAGATATAGAAACATCAATGATGAGAGAGAATCATTGATCAGCTGCCTCCTGCACACTCGCCATTGGGGAATCCAGCCAGCATGTGCCCTTGACTAGAATTAAACCCTTCAGTCCGCAGGCTAACGCTCTACCCACTGAGCCAAACGGTAGGGTTGCAGATGTTTTAAATAGGTCTTTTCTACCTGTCTGGAATTAGGAAGACCACTTTCCAATGGGCCAGTTTGTACAAACAGGTCTGACTAAAGGTTCTGATTCACTGAAAAGACTCATAAGCACTGCCATAAATAACCAATAATTTTAAGTTTCCATACCTCACAAAGTGAGTTCACTTTGGGAGGTATATAAAGCATATTTAGTATAATTTGTTAGAAAATTATTAGAGATTCTCATATCTCAAAAAGTATTCTTACCATTAAAATCTCATCAACTTTAAGTAAATCAATTTTCAGCTTATGAGTCTTAAAAATGTATCTAACAACTGGCACATATCATGAAAAAGATTCTCTCAACTTCAATGAATTAGTCTAACACTGAATTACACAGGGACTTATGCTTAAGCAATATGAAGAAGTTCAAACCCAATATACTGGGTAGTATTTATTTTTATTATAATTCTCAATTGAGTTCATCTAGAATAAAAAAAAACTTCATCCCTACAGGGCCTGAAAAGATACATTTTTATACTGATTAATTCTCATTCACCTCACAAATAATTTTATCTAAGATATCCAGGAATCTTTAATAACTCTTTCTAGGGCAGTATATGGTATCTCAGGGCCTTCAGTGAATTACTGCATTTCCCACTGTGTCTATTTTGTGCTATCTCTGCTTTGGTATCTAAAAAGCATATGACATGAACAAATTTCACATCTTGGACCTCTTTGCTGGGCATTGAGATGAACGGTGACTGGCATAAATCAATGATATTCTAAGAGGTCTATTGGCATTCAAAACCCAGCTAGATCTTCATTCCTATAAACACTCCATTATACATAACAGTTTCGAAAAGGCCATATAATAGCAAAGAACTAGATACTGTTTCTTTAAGGCTACTATGAACTATGACTGACAGCAAAGCTAAAAAGTGACTTTCAATAACATCTACTCTCTGACTTTTCTCCATCTTGATTTTTTCTTCAAAAATCAAAAATAGTGTCCTGGCCAGTTTGGCTCAGTGGATAGTAATCAGCCTGCAGACTAAAAGGTCTCGGGTTCAATTCCGCTCAGGGAGCACATGCCTGGGTTGCAAGCTCCATCCCCCCACTGGGGGCGTGCACGAGGCAGCTGATTAATGATTCTCTCATCATTGATGTCTATCTCCCTCTCCATTTCCCTTCCTCTCTGAAATCAATAAAAATATATTTTAAAACAATCAAAGATAGTGACACTAACTCCCAGACTACATTTTAGAAAAACTAAGTTAAATAAACATATTATAAATAAAAGGACCAATCAAAATCACACCATCTCAAATAATAACAAGAAAAAAGTCACTTATTTTGTTTATAATTAGTAAACTAAGTCCTGTACCTGAGAAGATCTACAAAATCCCAAAACAGAGAAACACTTCCCCTCTGATTTGTATTTCATTTGTTCCTCATCCACTTTAGAGAAAGGAATGATATCACTCCCATAGCGGAACCCTAGAGAACAAGAGAAGAGCATCTGTTAAGCATACGGAGCCTCATTCTCTATGAGCTGAAATTAGCCCTCCACATACACTAACAATACATGCACACTCCAGATCAAGCCTCCATATACTATTCCCTAAAATCAAATTTCATCCCTTGTGATGAACGGAGAAGCAGCAGCAGATACACAAACAACATCTACAAAAAGAGTCAATTAAAATCCAATTACATTTTTTAAGTGCATATTCTGCAATTTAGTTACCTAATGATTACCCAGCCTAGAGGAAAGAATATAGCCAATGCAATAAACTAGTTATTCTCTAAAGATAAACCATGGTTGACTAAAATATAATCATGATTTGTAAACAAAATAACATGAACATATTTCTTCAGAAACCTGGAGAACCACAGAGAAAAATGCCCACAGGAAATTTTCAAAACAAAATGTTCTCAAAAATGCATACAAGTGCCTAATGGAAGAAGCCAAAACTTTTCTATTTAGAAACATTCAATTGATAAGTTAAATATTTTTCTGCATTTAAATTTATTTTATATCTGGGATTGTATTGTCTATTATTTTTTTTCTATTACTTAGGTTGCTCGTATAAATAAAGGCTCTTGGTTTCTTTTTTATTGTTAATCCTCATCCGAGGATATCTTTCTATTGATTTATAGAGAGAGTGGAAGAGAGAGGGAAAGACAGAGAGAAACACATCGATCGGTTGTCTCACCAGGGCCTGGGCCAGGCAGGAGCCTGCAACCAAGGTATGTGCTCTGCCTGGAATTGAACCCAGGACCCGTCGGCCTGCTGACCAACGCTTATCCACTGAGCCAAATTGGCTAGGGTGGCTCTTGATTTCTAAAAAAAAACCAAAAAACACACAAAACTCCCACTCTGTCCAAGGCCTCTGCTCTATGGAAGGTCATGCTCTTTCAATATGTAGCGTTATATATTTTGTGGGGAGAAGGATCATCAAAATCCAAGGATTCTGGCTTTGCGTAAAAGGAAAGGAAAAGTATATGCACCTTTACTCCAAGAAATATAGAAACTTGTGTGCTTGAGGCAGAGTCGGTGATCCAGCATTTATTTGTTCAGCATTAATCTGATGTCACATATTTAATTTTTAAAAAATTTTTCTACTTTTATGTATGTCTTTTTAAAAATTTCCAACAAAAAGTTAACAGGGGAAGGTATGGCACATGATTAAGGGTGGTATCGAAACCAAATGTTTTCTTAACTTTTCTGTCATGAGACATCTTCTTACTTAAATTGTTTAATAGTAATGTGAAAATTCTAATGAAAACTGTCCTGGGTTTTTGGTTCATCTATTTAAAGGGCAAATCAATGACTCTAACTTTTGTACATAGCGAAAAAGATAGACTAGACTTCACCATATGACCATATTCCTTTGCCCTTCTCTCTAAGAAACAGAACTCTACATATTTGGGAGTAGAGAGTGGAGGAAAGGCAAAGGGAGTATGTGAGTAACTGCAAAAAGTTTAAGGGACAAAAGTTGCACATCTATGCTCTCTGAACTCAAACCATATTCAACTATTCCCTCTCCATTGCTCAATCCATAAGTTTCCCTTTTGCCTAAGATAACCAGAGCTGCTTTTTTTGCTTGCAACCAAAATAACCGGCATCCTCAACTCTAATCTCTTCTCCTTCCAATCTATCCTATACCCAGCCATCATATTAATCTTCCTACAACACAGTCCAATGACAACCTGCTCCTCAAAACTATAAATGCCATGCTGCTTTCAAAATTAAGGCTAAACATTGCAGCCTATCATTCAAAGCCCCTCCTAATTCAGAACAGCATGTAATAACACAGACTCTGAAGCAGGACAGCCTTGAGTTCAAGTTATGCTAGTTTGCTAGCTGTGTCACTTTGAATACATTAATGGAAGTCTTTTGGTCAAAATTCCCTTATCTATAAAATGAAAGTAACAAGAGTGCTTCATTAGGTTGGTGAGAAGATTAAAAGAGAAAATACAGGCTATCTATGAGATACTATCCTCCATTACTACACACTAATTTGTATGTGCCCAATACACCAGCAACCCAAATACTCGACATCACTGAGGAGGCCCTGTACTTCCCTGGTCTTCACCTTTCATCGTGCTATTCTTCCTATATGGATGGGTCACTACACTAGGATCAAATGATTTGCAAGTGATGGAGCCATAATTCTATCCTAGGTCTGACTCCAAATTCATGTTCTTAACTACACTACACTAGTAGAGCTTGTAGGGTACTGATTAGTCTACACATAATCCACCAAGAGAAAGAAAGAAACCACAACCACCACTACCAACTTTAACCAATTTCCCCTATTGCCCCTATAACACATATAAATATCCACAAACACTGCAACACAGTACCACAGATGAAAGATATTTTTTTTCAAGGTTTACTAACTAAACCTATGCTGCGCAGCACATAGTCTGGCAAGAAATCTATATAAACCTGGTTTCTAACTTAAAACATCATTTGGCACTTCTAATCTTAACTCCTGGACATTCAGACACTCTTAGCTAGTTTCTAAGCCCCCGGCATAGAGATGCCATCTAGATACACTATACAGATCAAATGGGTATAATATAAAAAGGACAACTTCAAAGATCCTAGCGAACATAAAGCAACCCAATAAACACAAACAATTTTTCTTATGCCCTAAATTACTTCAAGGAGCATATCTAGCACTTAAAAATAATCTTAAATTGGCACTCAGAAAAATAATCATCATGGAAGTAAGCAATGAAACAGAGTAAATAAAAAAACTTCCTTTGGTCACATTGATATAACCAGTTAAATTTCAAACTTTAAAACAAAGCCAAGTATTAAGTTCTGTCACATGAGACATTTAAAGCTCAGAGAGATGGAATACCCAAGTGCACTCCTAGGAACCATCCTGCCTCACACCTAACAGATGAGCTAAAGGATCTATGTCTCATGATCCCCTAAAAGAGCTGTGTCTCCAGAACGCAGAGAAATATCTCTAAACAACAATAATACAAATCCCAGCCTGCCTCCTATCACCTTGAAGAACAGCTCTTTTAAGCAAAAGTGGATTCTCTTACTGTAATACCTTGAATAGTATCTTCTTTTGGAACTTCAGTTTCATCATCGTCATTCAAGCAATAAACGGTTTCTTTTTGTACATCTTCCTTTTTTAGGGTTCTTGCATCCACAACTATCCAAGACTTTTTAACTTTCTCCTGTAGAACCTTGTTTCAAACAAAAAAAAATAAATACATAATAAATGCAGAGAAAGCTAGGATTCCAATTGACATACTCTGATATACTCTTTACTTACAGAAAATCATCCAGAACAATTAATTTAGCTGAATTGCTTTGTTGGCTCTTACCTACTATGGAAACTTTAGTTTACTTAATAATTCTTTCTACATTTCATCTTTCCCTCAGGGTAAACCACAGATAAACATTAATATTAGTATATATTCAAACACTTTCTATATTAAACCCTCAGACCGAAAAAATAAAAGAGGACCATACATCTTGTTACCCCAGTTTTCATAAAAAAAGGGGAGACGTCTATCAGTAGTCAGAAATCAGTAAGAAAATTTGAAAGAAAACAAAAGCTAGATACTATAATGACAAAACTTTATGCATTCCAAGAGAAAGGAAGGCCTGGAACTCATGATTAAATATTATGGAGAGAAAGAAAAAGGAGGGAGTCAATCTCCATCGGCAATAATTCATAAAGCTTCCTTTTCTAGCATGTCTTTTCCTAAAAGATAGAGAGGATACAAATAGGGAGAGCAGTTAGAGAAGTAGTAATTACAGTACTGAGTAACCCACTCACAAACTGTCAGTTCCTTATGTAAGCATATTTGTCTGCCAGGTAACATTTCTGTAAAAATATGTGTACCAACTACTTACCGATTTATAAGCCAAAATCTTTATTGACAAATTGGAGCCAATGGTCAGTTGACAGGGCCAGGGCATGGAAGACCTCTCAGTTTTCTTAAAGACACACAGTTGTCTCAGACTCTCACTTAATGGAAAAAAAAAAGGCAATCTGTAATACTTTTAACAATAAAGATAAGTTAAAAATAAATATATATATACAATGAGAGCAACAATTTTAAAATGTTAATTGTGCTGAAAGGATGCACTTAGTTTTCTAGAAGTGAACTGTTGTCGATCATAAAGAGAGGAGGAACAGCTGGGGATGGCAGGAATGTGGCAATCACAAGTTGGGAGAGAGCCAGGTACACCTGAGTTGGCTTAGTGACAGGTCAAAACAAACATCTCTATCTTCCTCTATGCCCGGGGTTCTCAACCTGTGGATCTCGACCCCTTTGGGGGTCGAACGACCCTTTCACAGGGGTCGCCTAAGACCATTGGAAAACACATATATAATTACATATTGTTTTTGTGATTAATCACTATGCTTTCATTATGTTCAATTTGTAACAATGAAATTGGGGGTCACCACAACATGAGGAACTTTATTAAAGGGTCGCGGCATTACGAAGGTTGAGAACCACTGCTCTATTCAATCTTTTTTTTTTTTTCAACTCAGCCAGTTGTTCTTAACATTTTTTTCAGGGCCAAGGACATTTTGAGGCTATGATAAAAGCACATTCATAAATAAGTTTTCACACAATAGAAAGGGTTCACCAAACTCCCTGAAAACCACAGACCTGAGGATAAGAACTCCTATCTAGGGTTTCATGGAGTGGGCACCACCCTATAATATCACTGCTCACAACTCTACAATTCTTATTTAATTCCAATTCTCCCAAATAAAAGGCACATGTATCTGTACAGAATGGACAGAGTTAAATAAAGACTCTCCAGGGGATAAAGAAACTTCGAAGTCCATATTGTAGTTTTAAGGCAAAGCAGATAGAAAACTCTAGGTTTCTTACTGGGGAGAGAGGGGAGAACTTGAGGGGTAGCAAAACAATGTAAAGTGTTGCTTCATGGGAACATAAATCCAGATCAATTCTACTTTTATCTGACCCCCAAACAACAGAGAAGATGACAGGTGATATCTGGAATTTGTGGTATTCACTAAAATGAGGAACAAAGAAATTAATGACCAAACACATTCAAAGCATACAGTCTAGACCAGCAGTCACCAACCTTTCGGACCTCATGGACCATCAGTGGTCTAGACTATGACTGATCCCCTTGGTACAGATGAAAAATACATCGAGAAAGAGTTAAAGAGAATTATGTGGCATTATCCAGAGACTAAAAAAAAAGATTAGGGACTGGTATACTATTTCTTTAATGAAATCAGAATATTTATTAAAGAAGAACTGCTTATTCAAGAGTGGACCAGAAAAAGGAAAACATTAGGAAGCCCTATGATCAAATGAGAAATTTACATAGTACAATTGAAAATTGTAATCAAGGTTTTCACTTCTCACCTGAAAGAATAAATTTCATCCAGCCCATCTTCACCTTCTAAAGACATCATCACCCTTTTCACCATCCGAATACCTTCTTTTTGCTGCTCAGTAATTCCTTTTAAAGGAAAGGAGGGCCCATGGTTGTCCAAGGGCAAGTTGCCATCTCCTCTGTCCCCAGTTCCATCTTCCTTGCCAATTGGGAAAGGCAAACTATCAGGAAAAGATCAGCATTAGTTAAGAACACAGGCTCTGAAGCCAGGCAATGAACTGGGTCCCAGTCTGGTTCTGTCTCACTAGCTATGAGAAAATGGGTATGTCAACCTCTCCAAGCTTTAAATTTCTCACCTGTCATCTTATCTCTTATCCAATATTCTATGAGGTTTTTTAATTTATTGATTTGAGAGAGAGAGAGAGAGAGAGAGAGAGAGAGAGAGGAAGGAAGAGAGGGAGAGAGAGAAGCATCTAGAGAGAGAGAGAGAGAAGCATCTATTTGTTGTTCCACTTATTTATGCATTCATTGGTGATTCTTGTAAATGCCCTGACCTTGGATCAAACCTGCAACCTTGGCACATCAGGACAATGCTCTAACCAACTGAACTACCCGGCTGGGGCTCTATCAGTTTTAAGTAGTATAAAAAAATTAGTCTGAAAAAGAAATGTTTTTACCAAAAAATTGTTGGGGAAGGGGTTAAGTAGCCAAAGCCTCTTTGATTTGGTAAAAACAAGAAATTTATTGGCTTAAATGACCAAATAATTGAAAAGGCAGGGTTGCAGGTGGCCCTAGGATGATTCGTCTCAAACACCATGCAGGTTATCTGACCTTCTCACTATCTCCATACTGAGTTTTTATTTGCTTTTATGCTGACTTCACTCTCTCAGACAGGTGTTGTCCACATTGCCCCTGGACCACTCAAGCTCACATTACTCAACTCCAGTACTAAAAAGCAACTGATTGTTGCGCTCTCTCAAATTAAATATATATCTAATATATATAAATATATATATATATTATACACACACACACAGTATATATATATGAATCACTCTCAAATTTAAAATATCTACACTAATAAAAGAGAAACCTGCAAATTGGTGTCACTCCAATACACCCAACAGCCAATCAGAGCTACTATGCAAATTAACCCAACAAAGATGGCGGTTACTTTGCATACGCAGGCACAGAGGGAAGACTGAAGGCTCCGGCTGGAGTGAAGAGTGAAGACTGAAGAGGCTTGGCTTCTCCGCTGCAGCCAAACCAAAGGCCTGGGTCCCCAGTGCTGGAGGAAAACCAGTGCTGGCGGAAAACTGGTACCGGCAGCCAGGGGAAGGAAGGCCTATTGCACGAATCTCTTTGTGTAACGGGCCTCTAGTATATATATAATCTGGTTGCCTCAGGACCAGATCTAGATATCGGACCTCTATCATTTTATTTGCTATAATTAAAATAGGGCTTCCTGTTTTAATTTTTCTATGTATAATAGCATGACATATCTGCATATACTGTATTACCTATCAGATAAAGAGCTCCCAGGGAGCAGAGTGTGGGACACAGAGTTTGCATCAGGCTACTGCTGTTTCCATAACACCAACCAGGAAAAAGGGATGAATGATAGGAAAATGAAGAGTCAGGAAGCTACCCAGGAAAAAGAGTTATAATAAAAATTCTTTCTACCCTGCATTAAACCAGAAATAAACTTTCTCAGTAGTTAGAAGAACCTAAAAACTAGGTCCAAGGAACAGTCCTGCTCAGAACACAATGCTTCTTTGTCCTGCCTGTATTTTTTCAGTCCATCTAGAATAACCAAATATACACAGGATACACAAAACAATAAAACCAAAATTTTACTTCATATGCTGGAGGTTTGTAGCACAGAAAGGAACTACCACCACATACACACACACGCGCACGCACACACACACACACACACACACACACACACGCACGCACGCACACACAAATACAACTGGTCAAACAGTGAGCAAGTAGAAGAAAAGGCTGATTGTTTCCCTCTTCAGCATGCTTTACAGTATTGCTCATACGAAATAACTCAGAGAAAGACAAGTACCATATGATTTCATTCATATGTGGAATCCGATGAACAAAATGAACTAACAAGCAAAATAAAGACAGATGACAGACTCATAGACAGAGAAGGCAGGATGATAGCTGTCGAAGGAGGGCACTGAAGGATTGGGATGGGGGTGGAGGGATTGAGCAAAAAAGGAAAAAGGATCATGGCTCAGTGATTGAGCATCAACCTATGAACCAGGAGGTCATGGTTCGATTCCCAGTCAAGGCACATGCCAGGGTTGTGGGTTCGATCCCCAGTGGGAGGGACTGCAGGAGGCAGCCAATCAATGATTCTCTCTCATCATTGATGTTCCTATCTCTCCCTCTCCCTACCTCTCTGAAATCAATAAAGATATATTTTTTTAAAAAAAGAGAGAGAAAACTCATGGAAACAAATGTGATTGCTGGGGAGAGGGGGAGGGGAGGGAGGGTATAGGGGGAACAAATGGTGATGGAAGGAGACTTGATGTAGGGTGGTGAACGCACAATACAGTGTACAGAATTGTGTTTGGAATTGTGTACCTGAAAGCTGTATAATTTTCTTAACAAGTGTTACCCCAATAAATTCAATAAAAAGAAAAATAAATACAAGTGCAGTATACTTCAGCCATGTAAAGGCATCCTGAGATTATGAACAGGGAACAGAAGCCAAGCTGGGCTTTTGAAGTGTTGGGAAAAAAATCTCAATTCAATAAGAGAAGTGTCACTTTAAAAACACTTAATTTTTGTGAGGTACCGTTTTAACAAGTTTCAGTATGATGGGTTATTCTGAACTACTTTTCTACAGAAAGGAGATGCCCTTCAGCAGTTCTAAGAGGTACATACATGCAAGGAGATGCTTAATTCCCCATGGCAGGCATTTTAAAGCCAAAGGCTTACCACTCTGAGCTGGAGACTGCTTAGTATAGCTCTCAGTCTGAAAAAAGGAGTGTCCCCAGAAGCCTAATAATTCAACATCCTGTAATATCACTCTGCTTTCCCCAAAAATAGGACAAGAAAAAATAGGCTACAGACACAGCAGGAAGGATTAGTGCAGTCAAAGAACTTTCATAGAAGATAAAGGATGGAAATGCCTGGAGGGAAAATTCAAGTTTCTGGGGAGGGACTCTCTCCCAACAAACTCTGAAATACATTTCCCCTCTCTATTCATATACCTCATCTCTAAATGCACATAAGCAAATTATTTTTAGATATATGTGTGTATCCTTTAGATCTGAAAACAGTTAAAAATAAGCATTATGTATGTTTAAAATGATTCTCAAGTTGACATTTCTCTCTACCCCTAAAATATCTACTGTAAGGAACCGTTCTCTTGAGCTGTTTAAGAAAGAACTCCATCAATCTGGTCATTCATTGTTTGGGTCAAATCCTCTAAGTAGGCAAGAGATGGACTGAATATGCTCAAAATTTTCCTTTAATTCATCAATTCTTTGAGTTTAAGAGTAGTGAACAATCTGCTATTAAGCTAGATTCCTGTTTCACTGTGACTTTCATCCTTTATCACCAAAGCTCAGAAGTGTTCCTGGAGCGTGGAAAGTGATCCGTGGATATTTGCTGAGGCCAATCATCTGACAGATCCCAACCCAGAGCAGAGCAAAAGCTCATGGGAACCAAGCGCTCTATAATGAGGCCCACTCATTACATGTGAGAGCACAGGGTTTGTTTACAAGCATTATTCTTACAGTCTTACAAGAATTGCAGGGAGATATTGGATTTCTTCAAGTTATGAATTATAGTATCCAGTTGATCTTTGCTGAATGGGCTGCTGAGGTCAGTGAACACTTCAATATGCCTCTTCTCAAACTTCTTTCCTCTACAAGAGAGAGTTATCACATTAAGAAATCCTCCTCCTGAATTAGTTCCTACAGATTCAAATGAACTTCACTTGTTTACTACGCAGAAAGAGGCTAAGGAATGAATCTAGGTACAGTTAACAAATGTAATTACCTTCCTTATAGAAGTCCACATATTGCTGATACTCAGTTAAGTTTCTACCAAACATCTAGTCACCTAGTTATAACTCATACTTTTAACAACATAGTATTTCAAAACTTCTTAGTATTTTGGAATTATGTCCCTCATCTTCAGGTAAAGATGTGGTCATTGTGATTAAAAAGCATCCCCTTCCAGCCTCAGATAGGCAGAAGGTAAGTACTACAACGTCAGCCTTGTAAGGGTTCAGTTGCCAAACACCCTGGTCTGACTCCTCTCACAGGGCTATGGCAAGATTTTGCAAAGAATGTATAAAGATTGAGAAATTATAATACAAATTTAGGCCTGAGATTTTTATGCAAATCATTATTCCTAAAAGTCAAGGGATGTGTTTGTGTATGTGTATTCAAAGACAAATATTTTAAAAGCACAGTAATTAAAAAATAATGAATTAGAAAATTGGCCAGAGTTACTATGCATCTAATTTCAATAACATATGGACCACACTACGTAGTATTTTTAAAAATTCCAGATAATTAGCTAAGTCAAATAGGAAGGAACCTGAAATAAGCCAAACTTTTATTCCTCCCAGAGAAATTCCTTCCCAATATATTCCTTCCTCCTTTTAAACTTTTATGAGAATTTGGACTCAACCACTGAATTCTATCAAATGTTTCCTTAGCCACACAAACATGCCATTTGATTAACAATGAGTCACATAGTGCACTGAATATATCAAGCCATACAATTTTTGCAGAAAGGCTCATTTCCAACTCTCTCCAGTTGAGACACTTACACAGTTTCTTGTTGAATCACATCCATGCACACAATGAGTGCATCCAGGACTCAGCTAGTTAAGGGCAGAAGATCTGACCAAACAGTCCCTTTATTCTAAGAACATGCAATTTTTCTTCCAATAAAGTCCATAGTGTTGGAAACTGTAGACACTAGGTTGACTGTGTGATGATTTAAAAGTACTTTCCCAATGACCCTTCTTCCAAAGTTTATTTCACTAATAATATACTCGCATTTGCTATGTATCATACTATACATCTTGAAACATATAACCATGAGAAATAAAATAATCCAAAAGGTAATCTAACATATTTCACTCATTTAACCAAAAATTATGATGCCATTCTACAATGACTAGAACCCAATTTTTGTGATTAACAGTCCACTCTTAAAAATTAAGTGAGCCATAATGTAGCATTTGTAAGTTGCTCCCAGCACAAAAGCACCTCCTAGTGATCAGGAAGGCAGTACTGTTAGAAAAATAAGAGTAACCCCTTTAAATTAGGGCACCTATGAAAGTCTCAAAATTTGGCTATAGGTCTGATTTTTGGCACAGAAATATCCTCCATCCAAGAAAGCATGGAGAATACTAATGTTATACTCTTCTAGAAGTACCTTCTCTATGTCCAAACATTTCTGACCATCACCACTATCAAACCCTCTGCACATCGTTGATACACACGTATACCCTTCACATCTTCCCCTTCCTATGCCTCCCACCCTCTCAATATCACTAGTGCAAAGAAGGAGCAAGATTCTATTCTGGAGGACCTGGAATCCAGGCACCCAACCCAATCCGATTAATTTCCCATTAAATCCTAACACACATCACCTCCATGTCCTCAGAGCCAAAAATGTCATTATAGTCAGAGCTGGGACTCAGAGAACCTCACCAAACTAAATTATGATTCCACAGATTAAAGGAAATTTCTTAAGTCTTCTTTGGCTGAAAAAGGATACAGTCAGCTTGTTGAGAACCTGGTTGGATTTTGCTTTCAATGTCCTCCAGCAAGTTAAAATCTGGTAGCATCAGGTGTCTGTGCACTGTGATGTTCTGATACTGATCCTCACAAGCAAGGGCATTCTCGGTGCCATCTGTACCAAAAAGGACTAATGCAATTTCATCTTTGCTCTCAGCAAACACCTAGAGAAGAATGTTAGAAGGTTGAAAACCATACAGTATCACCTGGAAGCCATATAGTATCACCTAGATACCTATCCTGCAGGGAGAGAGACAACCATACTTCCCTATGGCACGTTCCTGGGACCATTGTCAACAACAGTACGTTGGGCTGGATGGCCCATGGGATAAAGACAATTTCCTAGGTTCTAAGCAGACTTTTTCATGAACTATATAGGTACCACCCTTCATTTCAGCACAATTTAGGGTGGGGAAATAGGATGGTAACTGCTCTTGAAGAATTCTAGCAAAATTAAACTCTAATTCTGAATGAAAACTAATTACGGATAATTTGAAAAGATTTTAGTCTGTCTTTCTGGAATAACTATTCAAGGTTTAAATTTTCCAGAGATTAAAAAAAAATGTTTGATGGTTCATATCCTATAGCCCAGGAATTTCACTTACAGGTGTATATACCATAGAGAAATTCTTAAGCATGTACACAAGGACACAATGAGCAAGAAAATTCACTTCAGCACTGTTTATAACAAACAGGGCAACACTGGAAACAAGCGAACCATCCTTCAACAGGAGGAGGCAAAAAACATCATAGAATATTTATACAATGGAATATTACCACCTAGTAAAAAAACAAAAAATTTGTGCAATGTTTATCAACAGGGAAAAAATCTCAAAAACGTAAGGTTGATAAAAAAAAATTACATGCACCATACAATAACATCACATAGTTTTGAGAACTGCACAAAACACTAAGTATTATTTATGAATATACTTATGTCCAAAAGTATAAAATAAGCACAATAACCATACAAATTCTGAGAAAAAGAGGGGGAAAAAGAGGAAAGAAGAGGATTGGAAAAGGATACACAAGGGGCTTCCCATCTATCTTTAATATTTTATTTTTTAAGAAAAAAAGAAAAAGAAACATGGCAAAACTTTAGGGTTGTATATTGCTAGACAATGGGAAAATATGTTCCCATTATATTATTCTCTGCATCTGCCTCTTTTATGAAACATTTCATAATCAAACAAAACAAAACGAAAACAGTATCTGACACAATAGGCAGTCTTGTTCCCATCTATGATTAAGCCTTTTATATCAACTGGGAGAAAGCTGCATGGGGAGAAAATGAAATTCTGGCATTCTTCATTTTTGTTTGGTCTGTTAAATTCCCCAGTCTCTTCACAACTCGTTATAATCCCTAGTTGTACATGCAGAAAAGGTCCCAGCTGCTGGGGTTCAAACATGTCCAGTACACCAGTGGGACATGCTTAAATGACAGGATATCTTTTAAAAAATCATCTCTCATGGTTCCATGGGACTCTCTGGAGGCCTGTTTAAAATAGAGATAGCATGTTACCAGCAAAAGGTAACTGGAATAGGCACAAGGTAGTAGAAGGCCTTGTTCAAGATCACGAGATTAGTAAATGACATGTTAGAGCCAGGATTCAAACCTAAGCCATCTGGCTCTAGAGACTGTACTTTTAAACATGACTCAACATTGCCTCTTGTGTCTGGTAAAAACTGTAATATTCAGTGGAGGGACCAAAAATAAGAGAAGGAAAAACTATCAGGCTCTAATGATAGTTGAACTTGCATGGGAGTATATGTAAGAAAACTCCTCGGATTCCAGAAAACACTGAGGCTGGACACTGTAAACAGGTCGGTATCTTGCATTACTAAAGTGGAGGCAACAAACAGCTAGAACATGAGTTATAAGTTCAAGGCCAATCTGACTCTTACCTGTCGCTGCACAAACATGGTCATCACCTTCTTTGCCAGTTCGAATGGAGACTCTTCACCAGGAAAGGAGTTACTCATGGCAAAGCCCACATCCATACACAGCACAACAGCTGCCTGGAAACAAGGTCCCAAAGAATGTTTGAAAAATGTTAATAATAGCCAATAAAAAAGAGATATGTCCTTTGTTTCACCCAAATAACCTGTACTGATCTTTAGGGGATGCACGATGAAGGGAGAGGAAGTGTTCTACTTAGAGAATAGACGTAAGACATAAATTTTACTATAGAGAAAGTTTATATAGTCCTAATATTTTCTAAAAGCTAAAAAGTATCTGTCAGGCAGGCGTATGCTCCAGGCAGGTGCTGCTCCTTTAGCCTGAGCCCAAGAATACACTGAGGGGGGGCAAATTTGCAAACAACCTGCAAGCTAGAGCTAAGTCCAGACCAGCTGAGCCCCAAATATATCAGAAAACTGCAGTTGACCCACAAGCTTTTGTTGTAAACCACTGATTTAGGGCATAGTTTTTCATAATGCATTTTGTGGCAATAGGTGACTACTATAATTTATATATGCAAAAATGATCACAACACTTTGCATTGGTTTATAAACTGAGGATCTAAAATAAAGATCAAGACACCAAATCTATTCTAGTAGCCGACAAAGACATATAAACAAACAATACCAGTACAATGTTCCATGACAGAGATATGCAGTGGGCACTAAAGTACACATAAGGGAGGAGATACAGGAGGGATAAAGAGGCATAAAAAGCTGCCTGGATATGAAACTTGGGTGAGTCTTAAAGAATGAGTAGGAGTCAGTCATGTAAACAAGGGAGTTACAGATAGAGGGAACCACATAAAGACATCTAGTCATTAGATAGCAATCATGTATGTAGGGGACGAAGAAAATAGGAAAAACATAAACTAAGAGGGATACACATAAAATCAATATTTGGCATCCAAAATTTAACTGAATAAGTTGAAGACTTGAACAACTAATAATTGCTAATAACAACTATAGCAACTAATAATTTCAGAGTGGATTATAAAATGAGTCACTAGTAGGACATGGCTATAGCACTACATCCCCCTAATTTCATCCTCCAAAATATTTTAGATTGTGTCAATGGCTTATTGAATCCAAGTAAAGAAAAGAAAGGGCTTATGGTGAAAAAAAGACTGGATTAGCAATCTGGAGACCTGAGATCCAGTCTCCATCTTTATTATGAACTAGTGGCCCGGTGCACAAATTCATGCACATTGAAAGGAAATTAGTTAGAATATTTTAATATCGCTATTTGCCCTTTCTCTATAATAGAAGAGTCAACCAAATTCACAATCCACAATGACAGATTGAAACACTGTGTGATTGGTGCCATTGAGAGCTTTATATGTATTGCGCATGCAACTTAGCCTTTTATATATATAGAATAAATTTGCTTAATTAGACCTGCTTTCTGATTTAGCTAAACTGTTTCGAGCCCAGTGAGGTACCCCGACTTCTCTTTCAGGTAACTGTCAGCAACCCAGCAGTAAATATCAACACGAAGCAGATTATTATTGTAGATTAGGCAGGGAGAACAAAGAGTAAAATATTTAACTGCAGCAGTGTTTGACTATATTCTGTGCAGTGAGAGAACGGAAGCCAGGCATTGCTACGTGATGTCATTACCCTGATGTCGGACACTTAGCATATTAGTCTTTTATATAGGGTGTCCCAAAATTTACGCTAGATTTGCAATTCAATTCAATTGCAAATCTTGCGTGAATTTTGGGAATATATATATATTGCTTAGCTCTGAGTTCTTGGATTCCCAAGGACTCCCACTTAACTTCACCATTCCCACTTAAACTCACTATTAATTCATGGAGGCAGAAAGCAGCATTGGACTAAATGAGACCTAAGTCTTTTCATAGTTAACATTCTTTGACAGTTTCACCTGTGCTTTGTATTGATCAGACCACATTTGACAAACTGTGAGCAGTTCGGAGAAACACATCTTGGAGAAAGATTATTAAAACTAAACAAGAAATGAGCAGGTTAAAGAAGGATCTGAAGAACATGTGACTTGAGGAACAGTTTGAAAAAAAAAATGGATATTTAAGCCAAATGAGAAGATTTAGGGGATCATGAGAGTCCTCCCAAATATCTGACAGCTGTGTTATAAAAGGATTGGTATTTGGGAGAGATAAGAGCAGCAGATGGAAATTACTGGGAGGTTGGTTTGACTCCATACAAGGAAGAAGAAAGAACATTTAGAAGTGATCAGTAAAAGAACCAGTTTTCAGAAGCGGTGATCTCCTGCCCCTAGAAGTGTCTGGAAAACCTGGATGAGCTCCTATCTGGGAAGTTATACATGATTTCTAGATTTGGTTATAATGCAGGCAACACCTGGAAAAGAAGGACTATTTAAGTTTTTCCCTAGTTTATATTATAAATAGTAAACTTAATGCACTAATATTAAAGATTTCTGGAGTAAAGATAGCATGTTTGGAGAAAAGGTGGTAATAAACGACAAAATTCCTCTGAGAATAAAATTTACATCCCACAGTTTCAATGCCTTGAACGCAAAAATATTTAAAAGAGTCCCAAAATACGTTGCTGCATTTATTTAGTACACATTCATAAAAACTACTTTTAAACGAGAAAGCCTTTTGCTAGGAATCAGGTATCCAAAAAAGGTGGTATCCAAGGGTCTCACAATATAGAACTTCTTGCAGGGAAGCAGAAGAACTGTCTATGTAATATTTCAAGTTCCTTTCTGGCGGCAGTAAGAATACCAGGAAAGAGAAACTGGGGAGCACAGCAACGGGGTTCATTTTTACACCAAAGCAATCCATTTCGAGTTTTGCTGCAAGCCCACCTGCCATAAACAGCTGCGCCACTAAAGCTGCAGTTTTCAGCAGCTCAAAGAAGATATACAGAAAAGGGGGGTGGCCACATACATTCCTAATCGTGTTCATCAACATGTCTTAACTGAAGATTGAGGGGGTATAGGGATCAGCTGCTCAAACTCCTATCTCTGTGATGCCTCTGCCAGCGCCTTGCCTTTGGGTGAGTGAGCCACTCCCTGGAACACAACTCCCTCTAGTGACCCTTCCAGACAACTACCACTCTACCGATACTGAAGAAATGACTTAAAAATTCATTTCAATATCTGTTGTTAATTTGGAACACTGAAGGTCGAAGATTCCTAGCAACACAGAAACTCTCCAGGGCTCTGAAACCAGACCACCTGGGTTCGAACCCGAGTTTTACCGTTTATGGGCTGGGTGACCTGGGCTAATGGATCACTTCATCATTGTTCATGCCTGCAAACTGGGGTTAATAGTTTCCACGTCGTGGGCTTGTTAAGATTAAACGAGATAGGAATGAAGCATTTAGATCAGTGCCTCGCACAGAGAAAATTAGATTATTAGAGACAATAACAGGGCACCTTCTGTTCAAGTTGTTTTACTCACAGCACCTCTTGGAAGTTGTACAAGCCTGTGGAGTAGGTGCTTACCATGGCTAACGGCCATTCTCATACGGATTTAAAAAGCCCGGGCTCGGAAGGAATGGAGGGTTAGGGGTGGACTGGGATAGAGGGGTAGAGAGGAGTAGCCGACACCGGAGAGAGGTGGGATGGTAAGCACATGGAAAGGAGGTGAGAGGATGGGAGGGCAGAAGAGGGGTGGACAGTAGGCAAGGCTCAAATGCAGGTCTTAGGACTCCGAATCTCCAGCTTTTCTCACATTGCATCCCTCGGTGCAGGCCGTGCTGATCCAGCCCACGAACCACCATGATCTCCCCTCTTCCCTCACTCCCTGGCACCGCCGTCATCCCATGATTCCTGCTTCGGAAACACCCTTTCCATCGTCAGCACAGGCAATGCGCAAGCCCACGCTTCCTCTACCTTGTTCCCGGACCGCGCCATGTTGCCGCTCCGCAGGCGCCCGGGTCGCCTCTTCCGGGCGGGAACCTGCAGCGCCGCAA